TTAATAATAATACATCTATTTTAACATTAGAATCTGCTTCACTCTTATTTTTAATATCAAAATTAAATAAAATTAACCATATATCAAATATAGAACAAAAATTACTTAAACTAGCATTCGCAAAGTCAATATTTCATTGTGGTCTATTTTTATCATGATCAGAAATGGACCCTATTAAAGATTTATAAAAACAAGCAAAGCTGGGTTTTAAATTGTCTAACAGAAAAAAACTTTCTACAAAACTTTTAAAATGTATTTTTAATGAAACAAAACATAGTATTAACAGTTTAATCAATGAAAATACAAATATGTGTCTTAAATCTAATAAGTGGTCAAATTTAGTATAAGAGATTGGACTAACTATATTATAATAACCCCAAACCTATTTTTTATACTGCATATCCAACTGGTGAAATATATCAAAATGGAGAAATAAACATTAAGAACTTAGAAAAAATAATTCTTGAAATTGGCTTAATAAAAATTTTATTTGTAGTTATTAACAATACTTCTGTAATGAAAAAAGCCTGATGTTTATTAGAAATAAAGTATCCTACAATATTATTTCTGGGTTGTATAGTTCATAGCTTAAACTTTTTAATTAAAAATATTTTACAAATATTATAGAGTATTGATATTTTGAAAAATGCCAATACAATCATTTTATATTTCTATTTATATCAGATTCCAATGGTCATCTTGAAATGGCATCAATTGACAACTTATCAAAAAAAAATTTTATTGAAATATTCAGTTAAAACAAGATGAGGACCTTTAGCTATCTATTTGAATTCAGTTTTACAAAACTGGTTTGTACTAAAACTAGTAATTACAGAAATAATGCATAATAATCATGATAAATTATCAGAATCAATTTGTAAAATCATGAAAGATGATGTTTTTTGAGAGGATACTAAAAGTCTTCTTTTAGTATTAGATAAATTGGCCACTAATATTTCATTATTTGAATTTGATATGCCATGATTAGCATTGTTCTATTTTTGGTACCATGAACAAATAGAATCAGATGATAAAAATCATATATATATTTTGTATAATTTTATCTATATATTATATAATTATTATTATCAATTTTGTTTATTTAGAATATATTTTTTCAGTAGTAGGTAATAAAATCAAAACTATATTAGCAGATTGTTAAAAAAAATATACTAATCAGTAATGTCAATCATATATCTTTTGGACCCATGATATTAAAGTCAAAAACTTTCAGAAAATAACATATCAATAATATCACAATTTGTTTGACAATATTATCCACATGATGCAAGCATAATTTGGCAATAATTAACAAAATATAAGACTAAAACAGGTGTATTTAATCTTAAATTGGCATGGGAAACTGTTGGTAAAGTCAATTCTGTTGTATGGTAAAAACTGAACTTTGAAAATTCAGTACCAGAATTGTGCAAAATGGCAATTAGAATTTTTCTAATTCCTTTTTCATCAGTAGCCTCAGAATAAAAATTGATCTGTTTTTTCATATATATATAAAAAAAAAAATATCAATTATCTGATGAATAGTTATTAAAATTAGTATATATTTATAGCAACTATAAACTTACCCAGCCATAAAAAGAATTTTCTGAAACAACAAAAGCTGAAATACAGTTAAATAGTAGACTAACACAACAGAACTTAAATTACTCAAATGATAATGTTAATTTGTTGGATCTGATAAATAATAATTTAGAAGAAAATGATAATATAGAAAATAAAATTTATTCTGACTTCAAAGAAACTGATAGTGAAGAATTGAATAGTGAAGTAGAATATGAAGATGAAGATTAACATTATTTTGGTATTGTAAAATTGCTTATGTATTTTTTTTTTAATTAAAATAAATAAGAATTTGCGAATATTAATACGTATTAATTATGATATTTTTAAAAGGCGTTATATGGCAATAGATTATAACTTATATTTATTTCTTTACATGCAATGCAGTTTTTAATAATTTTTCAAGTTCCAGGAACCTGCATGGGCTTAAAAACTCATACGTATTTGCATGACCTGCAAAATAAAGTTTAAAAGTTTGACAATATTTTACTATGTTTATAACATGTCTGACTCACGATTTTACAATTTTGAATTCGACCGGCCTCTAGTGCTAGAGACCAATACAAAATCACTTATTTATCACTTGTTATCTGGTATGCACATTAATCATGCGTATCATGCGCTTCATGAAAGTCACATGCATTATGCAGCATGGTATGGTTCAAAAATGCGTATAGTGCCCATCTCTACTTATGGTACTTATGGTACTTATGTCACTTCTGCTACTTCGGCCATATATGCGTTAAATGACATATCGGCCTTTTATTACATTTAGTGAATATATGGAGTATAAGGAATATCTGGCATTTATGGCATAAATTGACTACGAATGTAAATAAGACGTTTATTATAAATAAAGGGCATTTCCGCCCCGGAAAAGAATGAGGAAGTCGTCCCTTTTGCAAAATAAATCTTCGAGTACCAATAAATATCCTATCCATAATAAAATATAAGTGCTATAATAAACTAATAAACCATCGTTAACCCCACCATTGCCCATATCGTTCGTTCATTTATAAACCACTAACTCGCCATTGACGACTCACTTCAAGTCACGTGACAAGACCGATAACGTAATCGAAGAGTTCCAACCCCGATTCGACGTAGTGTAATCCCGGGTTGAGGTAGACAAGAGAAGACTAGATTAGTAAGAGAAGAGGTTAAAGGAAAGACACAAAGAGAAGAGACAAGTACTTACCTACGGATAAACCACCAGCCAAATCTAACACGCCTATTTCGACTTAGCCGCCGTAGGTTACGCGAGAGTTGGATTAGTTTAGCGACAGACTCGCTGAAACTCGAATCACAATAGAAAGAGTGGCTACGAAATTGTTAAATATAACTTCGGATAGCCTTAAAGGGCTTAACATCAGAGACGCAGAAAAAATATTTTTATTCCCCGGTTCTTATTTATAATTCTATACTATTTTTGCTCGCTTATTGCCCAGATCTCAGATTCGGACTGATCCAGAGTTTTTATATTTCTTTTGATTATATATCATTTTTTTTTTTTTTTTTACTTTTCTTAACGTCATACGAATTTTTAAACTATTAAAGTTAAAAAAGTAAAGTCGTTTACTAAAAAAAAAAAAATCAAAAAAGTGAAAGAAAATGAAAAGTTTTGTGATTGTAGTAAAGCTAAACTATATGAAATGCGTAACTTTAATTTAAAAAAATAGTATAGAAGTATAATAAGAACATAAGAATAGAACAGTTATTATCCACGTAAACGAATAATAATCAAAAATTAAATGTGGATTGGGGATCGAATGACCACTGGCTGGCTGTGCCATTCTGTCATTATCTGATCCGCGATCCTCATCCAAATTTCTGGTTAATGCCCACTTACGTGAACAATACCACATGCTTATTCGCAAAAATTTATTGAAAAATCGAATATAGTACCGTGAATCTAAAATTTTTTTTTTTAGTCAATATTAAAATTTATAATTTAGAACAAGTTATTGCAAAAACCAATTTTAAGCTGGATAAATTTTCTCTTAAAAATTAAAGCAATTACTGTCCACAAGTAGGGATGAAATATTGAGATAATTAGATATGTTTATAGATGTGGAGTTTGAATTAAGTATTTTTTGATAATATTGCCTATCTATTTAAAATATTGGTATAAAGATGATGCCTTTGTTGAAAAAAATATTTTAAAGGCTTCTTAACCAAATTTTTTGTTTAAAATATGTTGTATAATTGCATAAATAATATTCTTTGTCCTTATTCATAAATAACTATTAAAATTTGTATTCAAAATATGTTGTATAATTACATAAATAATATTTTTTGTCCTTATTCATAAATAACTATTAAAATTTGGATTAAAAATAAGTTTTATGTAAGAATCGGAATTCAATACTTGAAAGTAATTGCAATTATATATCTCAAAAAAATGAAGATCGTATTTTATTATCAATTCAACACTAATTCAACACACGTTTATTAATTATTGACCGTTTACAAGCTTTCATCTCGATTTATAATTCTTTGCAGTAAACTAGTACTACATTTACAAAAAAATGATCATCTTTGACGTGATACATAGAGTAACTTAAATACAAAAAAAGTAAATTAAGAAAATAATCATGAATATTAATATTAATATTAAAAGTATAAAGAAAATAATATAAATATTCATATTAAAGAAAATAACATGATATATATACGATCTCAACACTACACTATAAATATTCTATGTAAGAAAATAAGAATCTAATATAACTTTGAAACCATATTAACTTTTATGATAGAGTAAGACTGTTGCAGAAAATATAGTACTATAAACATAACCTTCTGGATAGTCGCCACCGCCTAATAATAGAAATAAAAATTAACATATAAAATAATAATAATTATATGCATTATCTTAAATATTAATTTTTCTTACACTTCACATCTGATGGAACAACTCCGCCACAGGTATTGAGACGAACGAGATAGGTAATGTCTTCAAACGCCCCCTTTCCTGTATTACTCTAGTTGTTGAACGGTATAAATGTTAATCATTAATAATAAAAATTTTTAACAAAATTAATTAATAAATTACAATAATTACGCTAGCTTTTCCAAGTGCCCAAGAAAGATCTTTCTTGTCGACAGGGTGTTCAGCAGTAGTAGTTACAACCATTGATGAAGTATCTTTTGGAATTATCGATCTAATACCTGCACCTAAATAAGAATAATAAATTCTCGTTTAATGTTATATTAATACACATATATGCCGCTTATGAATGATTTGCAAGGTGGATGGAATTATTTAGGATTATTGATAGATATATTCATGATCTTTTGAAAGGCATTATTATGTAATACAAATTTTATAATTGTGAAATACTTAATCCTGACCATATATCATGATTTTAACTAATCTCAAGCACTAAATAAAGTTAATGAAAAATTAGGTAATATTGTTACATGCCTGGTGAGAATGTTGAAGCCACAGCCGAATATGGATAGGAAGATACATCTTCTTGATGATTGAAATATAATAGACGAGCTTCATCTAATAATTTAATAATATATAATGCATAATGTAAATATCACGAGCCGAATTATGGCAAAATACATGTATAGCACGTATGTATATACGTACTAAGTGCCCATGTTTTATTGGTACATTTATACCAGAGATATCCACTAGTGATTAAATAAAACTTAAAACAATTGCCCTCTGGAGGGGTGATATCACTCGGAACAGTGACATTCGGATTCCCTGTTTATTTTTGTTAAATAAGAATTTCATTATAATGTGTTGATTGACTGTTATTATTTTTAGGATAAAATTACCATAGTTTCCAATTGAAGCGGGAACTTCAGTGGCAAATGAACCGATTGCGCAGAGCAAAATAGTAACAAAGATCGATAAACACGTTAATTTGATCATTCTGATAAGCTTCTTTTTCCAAAATCAATATATAGATATATTGAAAAAAATAATAATTTAAATATTATCAATTGAATAGATTTTATATTAATGGAATGAATTTAATTTAGAAGTTCGATATTTGAGAGATGAGAGATTTAATGTCAGAAAGTTCAGGTTTTTATATTTTACCTTGACGTACGAACATTTTCTGAATTCAGGGAGACGAAATCCTTATTATAGTCAATATTTGTGAATATTGGTTGGACATCATTAAATTTGTGTATATATTTAATCAAATTCATATATATTATACAATAATATCATTTTGACTAAACTGCGATAACTTTGTTGGTATCCGAATAGTTTCGTTGAGAAGATTCGATTTGTGTTAAATTACCTACCTTAATAACTGCATTAAAAGTTATCTCAATTTGGCTAAAATTATAGTTTTAAATTATATATACGAATTTGGTCGAATGCATACGTACACGAATTTAATGTTTATATGAATTTGATTACCATATCTGCGTTACAATTAACTCCTTACTACGTATTGTTACATTACTATTTACAAAAATAAACAAAAAGTGGAAAAACGTGTACGCCGACGAATATAGAGCCAGGATTAAGAATAATGCGAAATATTATGAATGCCCTTTATATGCTAAATATATTTTTTATAGCTTGACATTGAATGTTTAATCAGTTGATCCTATTATTGATAAAGCTTTACAATTTTTTTTTGTATAAAAAATATGTAAACGCGAACTTTTCTGAATATTGTACAAATTTATATCAATTGTATCGTTTAAAAAACCTCTCCTTGTTTGTACTTATTGTATGCATGCTTAACTAAGTTCGTGGTCTTTTTTTCACTAATCTAACCCCCTAAAATTGATATACATTGTGGACAAGTTTTATATCAGTATTTAGAGATTATTTGAATTGAAAAAAAAACAAAATAATAGATTTATTTAAACAAAACGTGCGTACTTGATATATTGAATCTTTTATAAGATTTAGCAGCTTATCGGAAATCTGTTTGAGAAAGTTTAAATCTTTCTTTAATAAAATTTGCATCGATATTTTGTACCTGAAAAGATAGCTCCAGGTAGACATGGCGCTATATTTTTTTATGGCTCTTGTCATAGTTTAAATTTTGCCCCTTTTATGTTCCCGTTATAATATTTTAATTAAATTTTCTTATTTTAGTATTCAGGATTATTTATTTATTTGTTCAACGTGCATATTATTTCCCCTTATGTAATTATCTAATTATTATTTACTATAAAATAATTGCTATACCGTTGTAACTTTTAGAACCGGTGAGACAGTGTCTTTAACTAGAAGCATATCTATCAAGAAAATCTTTACTCGGGTTACTCACCTGATTATAAGATTGTACCAATTGATTCGAGTAAATCAGGTGATCTGGTTAACCAGGTTATTCATAGTTATTATATAATAAGTAGCTGCGCGACGTTGTCACGCAAAACCAGGAACGGAAGGTGAATTTTCAGATTGAGTTTCAGATGAAACTGCTTTCGTCATAAGTTTTTTGTTTGCTTAGCTTTTATAAGTTTTATTTGCAAGTTTAGATTAGATTATATGCGCAGTAGGTCGAATACTAACTATGTTATTAGGTGGACTTTATATGCAGTTCAGATAGATTAGTATTAGTATGGTATAAATGTAGCATTCTTGCATGTATGTAGTTTTTTTAAAATAAATTATTTACTTTTGTTGTTATTTTATTTCATGTAACTG